ACCGCCGGGCAGGAGCAGGGCAAAGGATAAAATCCTCATAGCCGTCAATCATCCTACTTTCGGAAACATGGAGGACGCGGTCACCTCACTTCTGCTGTGCAAGAGGACATGGACCCTAAAAGGAACTATAGGGAAAATATTTTTTCCCTCTGTGTTGAAAAGTTAGATTATAGGCTGGTTTATATCTATAGGTAAATTTTAGGTGTAGTTATATCTGGTATTATAGAGTTACATTTTATTCTATTAAATGTAACTGTTTAATAACTGTTATTAAATGTAGCTGTTTAAATGCACCGTGTGGCTCAGTGGGCTAAGCCTCTATGCTCGTGATCGGAAGGTCACCTTTTATGGTCCTTGAGCGAGACCCTTAACCTCAACCTGGGCGCTGCTGTGGGTGGCTGCCCTTCATAAGCTAGTTTGCTCTTACCAACAGAGAGTAAGTTGGGGGAGGCATAAAAAGAGAATTCCCCCCCGGGCTCAAGAGAAAAATCAATTATTATTATTATTCAGATGACACGTTTATCTAAAATGACATACATGCATTTGAAAAAGCAGGGTAGTGGGGGTTGAATGCCTCACTGAGGGTCCCAACAGGAATGTCACCTGTGGGTTTTGAACCTGTCACTTTTTTATCACAAGTTAGAGTCTCCATTAATGTCCTTTTTGTATCCCTGAGTCTGACATTGGATCAGTATATATCTTATGCTAGTCATAGCATAGCTACTCTGATCTTCAGTCCTTCAGTGCGGACTCTACACATCTTTCTAATAAACGGGGAAACCTGAAGCTTTAAAAATGATTCATTGATTTATCATGTTTTTCGTTGCTTCCTGCGTGGTGGTTTTTGGTTTGCGCCCCGTCGCCTTCTCTCTGGTTAGGCTGACGGGTTTTTACAGTGTGGAGTGGCCCAAACGGATTGTCAGACACGGGACTGCCTTTAAAATAGCCCATTTGGAAATGCGTATAATCACTTGTGGTCGAGCGTCCGGCACGAGCCAAATCACACGTAAGACATAACTGCTGTTATTAGGGACCCAGCTTCTCCATCCTCAGCCAGGTTCGGGCCTCATGGGCTGGGTCCCAGAAATGATCTGTGTAGGTGTTCGTCTGCGGGGACGCAAATTCCCCCACCGGTTGGGCCTCGTATGTCATTTTGACGGGAGGATAAGTGGGCTGAGCTGGGAAAGAAGAAAATTATGTGTAATGAAAGCAATTTTACTCTTTATTGACTTTCGGAGTAGTCCTTGGCGAGTCGTGCGTTCCTGCGTGGTGGAGCAACCCGCCCTGTGCGGTTCCCCTTCTCGAGGACCCTGATGGTCACTGGTGGCTTTGAGGAGATACTAAGTTGGCAGCGTCAGTCAGCTGTGGGCCATCACCCAGAAGCTGAACGGCTGGTCTTCCTGCTACTCGCTCCCTTACCGGCCAATTGCTGCACGAGGTGACCCCCTCCCCCCACCAGACTGCTTCCTGGTCACAGGCATGATGAGCCCCTCCCTGTGTTGTGTCAGGCCAACCCTGACAGGCACTGTATGCCTCAGTGGCTCCGGCCACCATGTCGGTGATCAGAAGGTTATGGGGTTGAATCCCATGCTTGGCAATCGATCAGGCCTTTGATCGAGGCCCTTAACCACCCCCTCAATGAAGCTGCATAGCTGCTGAATTAATGGCCGCCCTTATGCTCAGAGAACCAAGCTTCACTCCCACCTGTGCGTGCCTTAAACAGGAGAGATATGTGACAACTAACACCTTCCAATGTACGTGTGTGCATGACTAATAAAGCGTGGCTTTGGTACCCAGACAGCGGAGTAGGGATCTCCCCAGGAAACTGGCCCCTCCTGCCCTTTGCACTGCATGCACTCTGCTTTCACCTCGAGTGCGTCGGCTCTGTCGCAGGCATTCGCAATCCGCCAGCTTGCCCAACACCAAAACTTTCCACTAACTCTTCTCACCTTTTAACATTACAGCGATCGCATTTGTTTCTAATAAGCGTGCCCCTCCCTCGCTGCTTTTGCAATCCCTCGCTGTCTCAACCTTGCCTTGGACGCTTCGTGTGCTGGGGGTTGGATTAACTGAACGCTGATGACTTTCCTAAACTGCGGTGACTCAAACTGGCTCACTCCGTACTCCTGTAAAGGGTCGGGAGAGGATCCCTGCATCTCACACGTTTACCCACAATGTGATGTCGGTTGTGCCCTGCAGGAAGCTCTCTCCACGTGTGCCCTTACACAGGAAGCACGGCCAGAGGCTGCCATAGATGCCCCTTAAACGTGGCACCTGTGCCCCTGGTGATTCTTCCTTATCTGACCGCCATGTGCTCACCGGCATCTTCGCAAACAGCGTTAGTTTTACAGCTGATGCCTGGAAAAAAGGGGATCAGCGCTTTCTGCTGGGCGGAGAGGAGCTTGATTTTTCACTAAGAATGCTTCAGATCCAGGCTCAGCCTGCCAATTAGCAGTAAATCATGGCGAGCCCGTGAATGACTATAGACTGGCCGGGCATCCTGGCAACCCTAACCCTGACGCAGGTCACAGACAGACATGCTCCTGTCACATTGCTTTCTAGGGATTTTTTTTATACTGGTATCAGGAAATCAAGATGAGCTTTTGCACTGTGATCCGATGGAATCCAAGACATCTACACACAGGCAACAGCTAAATGGAGATTAACCATGATTCAAAGGTTTCTAGTAAAATCCAGCTGTTTATATATA